TTTGCTTTGTCAGAGAAGAGCCGTGCAATGATTCACTGGTGGTGGATAAAAACTATCGGGGCGGCTCACTAGCGATTGTATCTGCGCGAGAGCAATTATAAGGTCGGCCGACAAGCGTGACGACACTGGGTCATCGTCGGCACGTAATCGCAATCACTCGCAATTCACTGCGGCATTTCACGCCGGCATCATGAACCGCATCACGGTGTCATACCAAAACTTAATCTAATCTCGCTCCTCGGAAATATTTATCGAATAATCAACCGATGGCCGGTTGTGAAGTGCCATTGCGTGCGCCGCATCGTCACGTCGAAACGATTCATAGCGCTCGTATAATGAATAATCGACTCGTTCCGCATGCGATTACGCTCGCGAGATTATGCTTTCATTTTCCGCTCGATATCATCGGTACCGAGTGCGATTAACGTATTCGATTTCTCGCATACCGGCTCGGGCGTTTCCGATTTTTTGTATAATAATTTATTATTTATTATTTTATTATTATTATTTATTTTATTATTTATTTATTTATTTATTTATTTATTTATTTTAATTATTTAAAGTAGTTCTATGTATACTACTTATTATTATTATTATTACTTACTAATAAATAAATAATAACTACTATATATATATATATATATATATATATATATATATATATATATATTATCATATAATTCTTTTCTCTCAGCCATGTTATCGTCTTTTTCGTCTACATTTCAAAGATATTCTGAATCTAATTTCCTGTACAAAATTACGTCGAGCGTATATAACGATCAGAGATAATTCCACTCACGTTTACGAAGTATTTCAATTATGCGGAGTGTTTATACATCTCGTTTACGATAATATTACATTCTCTATAGTTTTATCTTTCGGTCTATAAAACTCGCATGTCATTTCGCGTGTTTCGCTGAATTTATCGCGTAGTACCAATTTTACCAGACACTTTATGAAAGTGGGGCGACAGCTACACGTCTACGGAACAGACGGCAAGACTGGTTAATCCAAATCCGCGAGGGCCTATTCGTCGCGCAAGATTAGCAGCCCACGTTAGTGATTAGACGAAAGCCGTTACTCCGGTTAATCTCCCGTGAGGCTGCCTGTATCCGCAAGCTACCTTCCGGATAATCTGACAAGCGCTCGCGCATTCGTTCGTCACGGTTTATCGCCGCTGATCTCTCGTCTCCCGGGGCTGTCTTGAGTTGTCGTTCGAAGGAGCGCAATGCAGCTAGCACGGAGAAAACGGCCAGTAAAACGATTCGTTCCACCAATATAACGAAGCAACTGAACCGGGTAATGACGTGGCGTTATGTACTCTTAAAACGATGCCCTGGCATCGTCGCACTCTTGGGCTGCGTGCCGCTGAGTTTTGACGGAGATGCATCTCACCGTAGATAAAAATCTGTAAAAGAAAGAGACCCGTTAAATGTTTTTCCATTAAATTTTTCCCTCCCTACACACGCATTTTCGTTTTAGTGCAATTTGTAGGTCGTATATCATTCTTATGCGAGAAATACAGTTTTCCCGGCGATGATTTCCTGTCGCAACACTGTGTTAAAATAACGCTTATCAGATCTAATCCTTTTCCGGGACATAAATCACGAGCTGGTACCGCACGTGTCCGCCTTTGCTGGTGTCGTTAGCTCATACATAATGAGAACATTTTCTCGACGTGCGGTCGCCGCTAAAATATATATCTACGAGCGCATGGTTAGCATATTACGAAAGTGCATGTTCACTGAATCCGCAAGGATTGCGTCATCGTAGAAAGCGTTCGACAAACGCGCGCGAGTAGGTGCAAAATCTCCTGGTTACAAGTAGGTAGCCCCCGTCCAGGACGGTATCCTTCACGGCATGCAAAACTTAGCTAATCATGTTTATAGCGTAAGGAGTAGTCGCCTGGCGCACCGTTGATATTTGTCTCAATTAATCTCACGTGAAAGTACGAGTTACGTATCATTAAGAAATAGCCCGCGACCGGGCTGTTTACAGGACAACGTTGTCGACAAAATAACACACAGTGGATAATTAATTTCCGCGGACAGTTTCTTTGTTTCTCACAAACAATGAAACCTCTTTTTCCCTCCTTTCCTGTTTTTCTAAAGTTTGTAAACTTTTCTTAGGAAACAGCGCAGTTTGTACACTGATACATTTTCTCTTTTCAATTATATTGAAAGACCCAGTTTCCTCAAAAATACGATAATTTCATGTAACTTTGAATCTTTCAGTTAAAAATAGTACGATGTGCCCACGTTTGCTTATACGGGTCCCTTTGTCGATGTAATTATCTACGATAATTTCCCGCAGAACGCATTTTCCCACATAGCCGTCGACAAATCATGCGACGATAAAGCGTGCGTGTATTTATCTTCATTACCAAGCGACAGCTCGGTCATAAACATAATCAGAAAGTTCGTTTAAAGCGTGCATAATATATTTATAGCTGAAACGATAGCGCATTATGAATGTACAAAATGCTTCTACAGCGTCATCGTGAAAATAGCTGCAAATTTCCGTAACGCAATAATTTGATTTATTTCACAATCTTCCCTGCCGAACAGCCAAAATCGATATCTTTTTCCATTTCACTGTTTCTACGCGTTTAAATATCTTATCACGATAAATTTTTGAATAGCTGAATCGTTGAAAATTTTTAGATTAGATTTCGAATGTGTAGAAAGAGGAAGATAAAATTAAACACGAATCGTGTTTCAATTTTATAGATAATATTGAATTTCGACGAATATTTTCCGCAAATTTGACATAATGTATTACAGAAAGATCTTCTCCCTACAAGTCTTGCCACAGACACGCGTCGATGAAAAATATGAATATGATATTTCATCTTCATCATTACGAAACAGTTCACACATAAAGTTGATCAAGAAGTTTACTCTAAACATGCCTTACATATATCAGCGATAGATTATGAAAGTGCATATCCATCCTATGGCGAGGCTGCATCGGAAGTCTGCAAGCGCAAACTTCCGAAGCGTGATAACTCAGTGTAATTTAATAGCGCATTGTACTACGGAAAAGTCTTTCACGTACTTTCTTACGTATTATAATAATATAACTTGTACAGTATTTTTTAATCTATAGCTCTAATATATTTTTATTCTATAGCGCTAATATAACAGAAATAAATTTATTACAAGAGTTAACGATCATTAATGTACAATTTTTGTTAATCTAGGAAAATAAACAATTAAATTTTATTTTAAGTACAATTTATTTTTTACATCGATCGATCTAACAAATTCAAAGTTGTCAAAAGAATATTATTTTTGACGTTCATATATTCTATGTGAACTCTTGCTATATCTAAATATGAAACATTTTAGAAATTTTCTTTCCTCTGTCAAAAATATATAAATTCCTGTGTTACATAAGTGTACGGAAAATGGGAAATTATTGTGAAATAATACAGAAGCGCATTTGAGCATAATGAGCACGGTTAAACATACACGTTTATCAGACCTATTAGCTCGCCTAGACAAGATGAGGAAGTGAGCGCGCCGGATGTACAATATGTTTCACCTGGCGCGTTACGAAAGTACATCCCCCTTGCAACCTGCAACGCCGTAGGAAGTGCTCGGTATACGCGAGCGGACTTAAACTTCCGAACAGAGGATAACTGACTCCCGGATAGCTTCTTTCGAGATCGCCGTGAAATCGCCGTGAAATCGCGCGCGATCAACACAGCGCTTGTGTTCGCAAATATGTGTGTGTGTGTGTGTGTGCGCGCGCGCGCATACATATGCACCCGTAGCGTACTCGAGGGCAAACAGGAAGCGGTTCCCTGCAGAACCAGTCTATCGTTGGTTCGCGCCGCTATCTGTCCACGGCAGCACGACGCAAACATTTGTTCAGGACGGGGGAGGAAAACCAGCGGCGACGGCGGTGGAGGCGCGAGTGGCGATATCGGTAATAAGATAACGATTGTCCGGTGAACTGCACCCGGTCTCTTCTCTCGACTCCCCATGGTTGTTTCAGTTCCTGCTTCTTCGTCCCATCCTCCCCTCCCCTCCCGTGGACCCTTCTCTTTGTTCTCCTCAGCCCCCAGCCTCGCTGTACTCTTTGTGCTCCGTTCTTCCTCTCTGAAACAGCCTGGGCTTCTGCAAGAGCCGCGCCCGCGCTCGTTCGTTCGAACTTCCTCTATTGAGAATCCTCGGGGCTTCGCCCCCGGGTTCTGCAACTCGACCTTTCAGAACAGCGATGTTTCTCCATCGGTTAGTTAGCGGTTGAATTTTTCTGCCGAACAACAATCACGGCCATTAAAAGTCATTCGCGCAAAATCAAGCGCTCTTCCGAGTGTCAGAGTCATTAGTGATTGGAGATCCAGCTTGTATCCATCGGAGCCATTCTCTTGGAGCCGTTCTTAAGTGCCTCGTTGATTACTTCCATCGACTCTAGACATCTCAATGCAGCCGGGATCTGAATTCGCAGATATCCGAAATGTTATTACGCGCGATACCATTGCGGACCAGAAGAATGCACGCGAGTGTTATCCGGATGAATCGCGAGCACGTCGAAAGCAGATCTCCTTCTCTTGGCTCGAACGAGTCCGTAATACCAAATGATGTCGGTCGACGATTATGGCACTCTTGGTCGGGATCCTCTCGGAATCGAGATTCCCAAAAACGTCTATATCGCGTTCTTACGATTCTCATAATGGAGCCTGCCTCTCGAAAGAAGATCCTTCGCTTCATATCCTTTTTATCCAACCTCCACAAAACGCGGAGTGTGTGTGAGAGAGAGAGAGAGAGAGAGAGAGAGAGAGAGAGAGAGAGAGAGAGAGAACTGCGCGTAAAGTGGAAGTATCCTCTTTGCAACGTGCGTGGCTCTTATTAATCTTTCTCCCGTGAATTAATTACTAATAATAGTAAAATAATTAATGACAAATTAATTCGCCGTGAAAGTAGAGAAATCTCGGGTGCTTTCGCTTAAATTATTTACGAAAGCTTCCCTAAGCTTCTTCTTTAATTACTTTAACTTCACCCCGAACATCGAGGATCGCCGAGCGTGAAGAAAATATTCAGAAGTCCCGATAATCCATTTGTAGTGTCGGGTGCTTTCACATCCGAGAGAAGAAAGGGGGAAAAGTGGCGAGAAAAGATCGAACGAGGCCACGAAGGTCGGAAGCTATCGGAAGTCTGCGGCCGTATTTGCAAGAGAAGCAACAAGTCGCGATTGTTTCCCCGCGTTAAACGTGGCGATTAAACGTTCTGTATATACGGTTGATAACGTAAACAGCGCGATATTAACGGCGAGCCGATTTTTCAGTGCGATACGTATGGTGGAGCGTGTACGCGACCGTTGCCCCCTTGACGCTGCAGAAGTTCCGCGACCTCGGCTTCCAGTTCTGGCAGAAGGTCTTCGGCCTGAAAGAGAAGACGCCGCGATGGAAGGCATGCACCGGAAACGTGAATGCAAATTTCGGCATGGCGTTGAGCTACATTTATGCGCAGAAACACTTCAATGAGCAGGCGCGAGAAAAGGTGATTAATATTCCTTAAGGTGACCGAGGATCGACAAAACACGATCTGCGATTTTTGTTTGTATATATATATATATATATGAAATACTTTACGTTATATTATATAATTTTTTTTATACATACATACATATGTATTTTTGTGTTTTATTAATATTGTTATTAAATTAATAAGATTATTTCCAATTAGACTGAAGCTACTGAAATAATGTTTTATTTTCTCGTATGATTCATCTAATTGTTATTAATGTATACTTTGTTGAATTCCGTTAAAAAAATTTGTTAATTTATTATTATCTACTTTGTCAATTTATTGTTATCCTCTTGATGCAAAGTTTAAAATATTTATTATCTAACTCACAGAAAGAGCTTGTCTGATCCACGAGATATCCCAAATGAGAACTCAATTATTTTTCCATTATTATTCGTTATTCAATAATTTTTGAGATGAAAAGAATATAACGATTATTCATGATTATTATCGATAGGCATTGGAGATGTTATTGGACATCAGAGCAGCGTTTGACGAGATGGTTATGGAGTTGGATTGGATGGATGTCGGCACGAGGGCTCGAGCCCATAGAAAATTGCACGCAATGAGGCCATTCGTAGGATTTCCCGATTGGATCACGAATCCAAAGGAATTAGACAAATTTTACAAAGGAGTGAGTTCTCCTTAAATCTAAAATTACATATCTTCATTTTTTTATTTTACGTCTATTTTCTTAAAAAGAACAATAGAAATCTAGAAAATAATCGAGTAATTTCGATTGAAAATCGTTCCAAAAAGATTGCAGCGTTAAAAGAAAAATTTACGATCTGTTTAGGTGGAAGTGATCGATGGAAAATTATTTGCAACTTTTTTGAAGTTAACTGACGTAGCTATGAAAAAGAGCTTCAATAATTTGCGCGAGAAGCCCGACAGGAGTAGATGGATATCGACGGGCACGACAGTAAACGCGTTTTACAGCGCGATATTAAACTCAGTCAGTAAGTGCCTCAATTTTCCAATTAACTAAAATAAATTTTCCAATTAATACGCGGTCCATCGTGGTCGCTTTGCAACATCGATTTTACTTAATTGCTAGAAGAATTTAAAAAAATTGTGTCATCTTAGCTTTTCCAGCCGGCATACTGCATCCTCCGTTTTATGGCAATGGATTGGAGTACGTATAAATTTATATTTTTATAAACAGATAAAATTTTCATTACATACAATCATAGACGTATTCAGAGGGAAATTCAAAGCCTCTCAAAATTAAAAAAAAAAGTTAAAGTTATGATTTACAAATCTAATAATTTTCTCATTCAAAGTCAGGACGTGGAGATATTTTAAATTCTAAAAAGTAATTCATTAACGCAAAAAATTATTGTTTATGTATTAATATAATTGATAAAACTCTTTTACCTTTAAAAAACTCCTGGATACGTCCATGCACATAACTCATATTTTGTTTGCTAATGAATAATCATTCTATTTATTGTTCAATAAGATTCTTATATAATTTAACGTTGTATTACACTGAAAATTTGTAACATTT